GGCTGAACATCGCTGTTGTCTGAACCTGTTCTTGTTCTCACTCCTCTACGCGGCCGCTGTGGCTGCTCTCGCTCTGTGGCCACGGTTTCTCCTTCAGGAGTCTTTCGCCGATCATTCCCTCTTTTTGGAGGCATGATTCTCTGTGGTTTACTCTTACTTAACGAAACGAAGCAGAAACCGGGCAAAGTGAAGGTGAGTGAATGAAAACAGAGAGAGAATGAAATGGTGATGCGCCACAGCGAGGTGCCTAAACACTGTTATTTGGGGACACTCTCACACAAAGACACACATGTATCACACCCCACCGAAAACAACCATCCTGAATAAGTCAGAGCCACCAGACGCAAGGAACACCGGGAATCCACACAGCACTGCAGGAATGGACGTTGGTGCCGCACTTCTCAATTCGAATCGGACAATTCCTTCTCTGAAGCCACAGTTGGGATTCTTCCTTGACACCACTCCTTCTTACTCTTCACACCAAAAAGAAGAAAGCACTTACACACATTGTGGTGCCTTCATTTTCGTGATCCCTATCTCTCTTTTACTCTCCCTCTCTTGTTACGCATTCCTCACAAGCGTGGGGCGCAGAGCGCATCTTAGGAGAGAGGCCCTGTTGTGTGTGAGTGGTCCTCAAATAAGTACTCTTTCCGGCTGCACTTCGCTGAGGAAAGTTCGTTTCCTCCACTACACTCAACGCACCTAACGATGCGCACGCAGATTAATAAAAGTAGAACCGCATTCCACCACAAATCAATCGTCACCGCATCACCGAGAGAGAGGAGGCATACAAAAGAAGAAAGAGAACAACCCCACTGCGCCACAACTCTCCATCAACCTATCACTGCTTTAGCTCTATATTTTCCCTCCCTCCGCTCCCTTCCAAGAATTTTTGAAATGGTCCTCCATCAGTGAAGATTATAAAACGTGGGACACACGACGCCTTGTCAGAGTTTGGGCCCGTACTAATTTATCTCACCCTCGACCCCCTCGAACTTCTCTACAGCCGCTAATTGGCGTCTCCCCACTTGGTGGGCACACCCAAACCAGCATATCATCAATAGCAACGCGGAGAAGCAGTCCAACAACACAAAACAATGGCATTATTTACGCCAGGGTAGGCCAAAAATCCGAAAGAGGCATAAGGCACCACACATGTCGCCCATCCATGCAATCACACACAAATTGAGAATGGACGCACACACACACACACGTCGGTGGTGGTAGGGTTGCTACCAACTCTCCGCACAGATGCCAAACCTCAGTGGAGGTTCATTACGCTAATCTCTCCCACACAGCCAACGAAATGTGCAGTCCCACGCAGCCCACACCATTGGAGGTTCCCTACTGCCCAGAACAGCCTCGCACAAGACGCATCACTTGACGGCCGTCGCGGACGTGTGGCAACAAACATTAATGTCGTCACTGCTTCAATCGACCCTTCACGGAATATTGCCCCTGTGTAATAATGTGCACCGTAGAAGGGTGCGTGGCAGTAGCACCGAAGCGCGGCGAGGGGGCGCACAAAAAAAAAAAGATCAGTGAAGTTTTCGGAAAGAAAACAATTTCGTACAGATCATCCACAGTCCCTAGTAGCACTCTAAAAAAAAAATCAAGGCTTTGAGGAGGGAAGGCTGTAAAGAAAAGAACACGCCAGGTGTTCCTTTCTCCTTCGGCTACGAGCATAGGTGTATGATATTAATGAGAAGGCAGACGACCCACGACAGCACGCGCCAGGCACTAGTTTCAATGCCAAGAAGCCCATCCAGCTGCTGTTTTTTTTTTGTTTTGTGTGGCTACCGTCTCTGCCAAACCGCTCCGCGTGCCACCATGTGCATATGACTCATTGCGCAACGCCCTCTCCTTGATGTTCGGGTTTTTTTTTCGTTTAAAAACGAAAACCCGCATTCCCAGTGGCGATGTCAGCCTGCTGCTCCCCACCAGGAAGGCCTCAGCCGTCATCCCATTGGCACCGCCTGCATAAGGAGTGCCGCACAGTGCCATCAGTTGAGGGCGTTCGCCCCCACCCACTTGTACCGCTGATAGCGTCAGAACCCTGGCACTTGATCAATATCATCCCCGAACCAACAAAAACGGAATGATCTCATGCCACAGGCAAGCGGAATGTGTGCAAAAAAAAAAACGTTTTTTTTTTCACTGGAAAGTCGTGATTATCAGAGGCACTTAAATCCATCCCACTTTCAAGAAATGACTTTTCGGGAAGGAACTGCAGCTCGGACGCAACACGAGCAGCATTAGGTGAGGCAACCACTCTGATGTTCAGCGTCGAATATGCACTGCTTCCCCGCGCCCGTGTGTGCTGCACTACCTTTTAAACACCGCCACTGGAAGTGTCCAATGGCACCCCCAACGGTCAGTTCCAAATGCTCGCGGTGGCGCAGACGCAGGTTCCACGGCTCACTGTCAGCGTTCTTCGTGTTCACTGTCGTGTGCGCCGCGCGGCTGTTCTTCCACACTGACACTGAGACCCCACCCAACAAGACACTTCGATTTCCGTCCACATGCTCGGCGTCAGAGGCACCGTAAGTATACGCCAAATCTGCTGGCAAGAGGTGAAAAGAATAATTGTATAGACCTCCAGCTTCTAGGGTTTTTTGTTACTGTTTCGTCACCCTCAGACACAAAACTTACGCATGCCTTTCCCGGAGCGCGCCTCCTCATAGGGACCTGTCATCATTTATTAAATACAAAGTCAGAAGGTCAGGCACCTCCTCCATCAGCGCCGCACCGTTGAGAGGCCAGGCTTTATCTACCCTTATGAGCGCCTCCATAAGGAGACTATTGGTGAGTTCCCAAACCACCCCTGTTACTCAGGTGGGGGCAGTGAAACTTGTTCAATTCCCTCACATCTTCTGAGACAAGATGCCTTTTCAGTAGGGCCTCTCCTACCCAACGGCGCTGCTGCAAGCCGCCGTCTAGATATTTCCAAAGTCAGCCGCGGGAGGCTGGTAGATTCATCGTAAATCAGGGTAAATCCGGACGCAATAAGGCAACACGTCTATACGTGAACCCACAGTTTAAAGCATTATTACTTCCTCAGCATCGGTGGTACAATCCGCATTCGCCTCGCCCTCATTCAGTTCCCGCAGTCTAGCCTTAATAGACTCGGATGGTGTCGAGTGCAACAGTTACCTCTGGAAACTCCCTGCTGCGTACCTCCAGTCACAAAGAATGTATAGTTGCCAAATCATCCATAAGATGCTCAGTCGCTTCGTGTCATCACCAAAAGACTCTTTACCACCTTGTCAAACGAATTATGTGAAAAAAGGTCATTCGAGACATTGTCACAGAGTTTCTCACACCGCCCCGCCGTCACAGTGGCAAAGCACCACTCACATTGCGGGCACTTCTATCGCAGTTTTTTTGCCGCACCAAGTCGCTGCTCCACAGGCGTGTTCTTTCCTCACCGCCACCACCACCATTTGCACACACATCATTCTTCACAGAATGAGCGCCCCTCGCCGAAGTACCTCAACATGCGTGCGGCTCAGGGTGCTTCAAACAGAAAACTTCCTTTAAATGTTTATAATAGAAGGAAGAATGCATTTGGTTGAGGTGGATCATAAAATATTCTCCGCATATCGGTTTCCTCCAATACTCAATCCAGATATTCAAGAAAACAAATACTCTTTTGATTATTTTCGATTTTTCGTTCCTCTTCGGTTCTTTGCATAGATGCTGAGAAAGGATAAGAAATTTATCCACGCCCCGTCTTTGGCGCTGTCTCTGTGTAATACTTCTTCGAAAAAAAGACTTTTCTCAATGCTTTTGTTCTTTTTTTTTATCATTGGTTGCAGACTCACATGTGAGACACTGAAGGACGTAAAAGACGGTACTCATCATGCGAGGTCCACCTCCCGTAAACCATGCGCTTTGTAATCGTGTTTAGCTCCGAATTGAGAATCAACAGATTTGCCTTTTTGCCCTGCTCAATCGCCCCAACTCCGTTCAGCCGTGCAATTTTGGCGGGAGTTGTAGCCACCATCTTGCACGCGGAAACAATATCCACGCGGAAGAGGGAGACCAGGTTCATAAACTGGTCTGCCAGCGTGCTCGTACTGCCAGCGAGGGTCTTCGATGGCTTGCCCGAAGCTTCACAAAGGTAGCAACCGCCTTCCGCGCGAACGACGCCCATGCGTCCATTGTACGTAACGCGCTTTCCTGGGAGGTTTTTCGATATGCAATCCGTGATGACGGCAACCTCATCGCATCCTCGAGCCGAGAGAGTTGCCTGAAGAAGAATTGAGTCCACATGAACCAAATCTGCGATGAGCTCAACTGATGGAGGGAGAGCGCCTTTGTAAATCGCTGCCTTTGGGAACCTGGAGCAGAGTGACACGTTGATGAGCGAAGGGTTTCGATGATGAAACGACATTACATTGTACATATGTGTCACATGAAATTTTTGTTCCTGCGATGGCGCAAGTCTCAGCGCACCCAGTATTTCCTTCTTTGTCGCCACACGATCGTGGCCAAGCGATGGCCGAACCCCTGTACGAAGCAGGTGCTTGATAAGCTCGTAATTGTTGATTGCATCAATGTGAGGTGAAATTGTCATAATGCGCATTGACGGCATCGTGGCACAGAGCTCTTTGAAGCGCTCCAGACTCCACCTGTTCTCGCACGCGGGCAGGCCTCCGCGGTCGTTAATCACCGGCCCCTCCGCATGGATGCCCCCGAGCACACAGCAGTCGGGGATGTATTGTTCCACGCGCTTCTCCACCTCTTCAATGCAGCGCACGACGAGACCCTTGTGGTCCTCAGAGAATATGAGAGACGCCAGCGTGCAGAGCGTCCCACACCGCGCCAGTTCCTTAAGCGAGTACTCGGGGTTTGACCAGTGGCCAATCACGTCCTCCGCACCGCCAAGGCCGTGGTTGTGAATGTCCACAAATCCAGGGAGAATAAAGTCCCCCTCGGTCACCTCCATCTGCACGTCACCGTACCGCTCCCGCAGCTCATCTTCTGTTGGCAAGGATGTGCGGGAGCCAACCCTCTGTATGGTTCCGTCAATAACCAGCACGAAGCCGCCGTAGATGACCTCTGAGGGGGTCACGACATTTCCCTTGATAACCGAAACAATCTTTTTCATTCTATGCGTGAACGCTACGGAAGGAAAGAAGAAAAAAAAAACAGCATAGGAAACAAGGCGATCGGCACGCAGACAAAAAACGATCTGCCACTCTGCTGTCAAAGATTATTATTTTTTTTCTTTCTGTCGTCCCAAAGGCGTGTGCATGCGCTCGGAGCTCCACAAAGCTGCTCAAACAATCGCGGAGCTTCCACATGGCACGTGTCCACTGCTGGAGTTACAGCAAACATGCACACACACACACACACACAGCAGAAGACACTCCCCCAACTGCACAAGGAATAACCTCATGCAGCTGCTGGCCGGGTCCACGAAGCGGGGTGGGTCATGTGCAGGGGAGGGAAGTGCAGGCACCTCCTGCTCTCCAGCAGCCAGCCGCCATGTTCAACATCTCTCTTCGTCTCTATCCCCCTGCAGCCACGCACAAAAACAACGAGGCAAAACAACATCACACCAAATCATACCGTGTTGTTGGGGAAGTGGGGAGCGTATCAAGAGGGACACGCAATCAGTGGCACTAACCGCATGGGGAGGAGATTTTCAAACATTTTTTTTGTCGTTCACACGCTGGTATTCTCTCACTTGAGAATTGATGAAGGCAAATGTCACACGCGGGCAGGTTCGCTGCATTAAAGAAGAAAATTCAATCAACATACAGAAAAAAAAAGCCGGCAAAGAGATGACCGCTTCGGAGTGCTGCAGAGGAAACAAGGGCGCAAGACAGCCCCCTCCCCTTTTCCTCTCTCTCTCACACACACACTTGCCCTGCAGCATCTTCCCTCTCTCCCGCATCCCCCAAATTCCCTGTGCGGCCGGGCCGAATCCCCACCCCACCCCCAGAAAAAAAAACACGCCTTTCTTGCCCCTTGGCTCTTCATTGTTTTCCCGCTTTACTTCCCCTGTACAAGCCAGCTTCCTATACAACGGGAATGCTTGGTGTTCCGGCGCTGCCGCTTCGCTCGACATCGCACTCATTCTTCCCACGTGCAATGAGGAAGTAACCGTTCATGCCCCACCCGTCGTTCCAGCTGTTCGCGATCTTCCAGTAAGGCGTGCCGTTGAGCTCGCCCCAACCGACAATGCGCACTGCGTGGCCACCGAGTAATCCGCCGGCGACGTGCTTGTACACGCCGCTCTGATATGCCATGAAGTCCTCGAATACATTGAATGCGACCTCGAAAGGGCCGCGCAGGTACAGTTCCCGTTTGTAGCCTTCCTCGCCCTTCACAGTGTAGCTGCTGTTGCCTTTGTACTTGATAAGGGGGATTGTCTTGTCGGTGCAGGTGGCGTTGCACGACGGGGTTTCGTCGCTCCCCGACGGGCAGGGCGGATACACGCTGCTGTTGACGTGGTGCGCGCAGGCGGGGAAGGGGTAGGGCTGGCAGTACTCCGACACGATGCCCATCTCGACGAAGTAGCTCCACGCCTCATCGGGGTAGCCGCCGTTGCAGCCGAAGCCGCACGCCGAGCAGCACGACATCAGATCACCAGCGGAGATGCGGACATCGCGCACACCGCCAATCGTACAGTAACGGTCCGACATCGCCGAGGCGGCGCCCACAGCCCAGCAAGAGCCGCAGTCCGACTGGTCGCGAATCTCCGTGATGGTGGGGCACCTGGGCCACTTCTCAGCAGCTTCAAAGCTGTCGGGGAGCTGCACTCGCAGCTCCTCTTTGCTGAAACTCCGCATAGGCAGAGTACTGGTGCTTTTTCTGAGCGCGCCCATGAGCCGCATGGCCTTGCGCGTCGTCATGTGCTTCATCCCCCTCGTGTAACTTGCCGTCCACAGTCCACCATTGAGACGATTGATGTGGTCCACAAACTTCCTCGTCACAATTGGGGCATCCTCGACGTGGAGTGCGTGTGCCGTTGCGACGAGGAGCAGGAGAGCGATGAGACTGGTGGCGATGCCAGTGCGCATTGGGGTGTCTCCTCTGTTTTGTTTTTGTTTTTGCGTTCGCTTTGTTTGTGGCTTTTGTGTATTGGTTCTCCCTATTCTTTCCGCTTTGAGAAGCAATCTGTTGAAGCGAGAGACAGAGCGCCAGGAAAGGGAGAGGATTCTTGCAAAGCCACGGCAGCCCACATCATGCACACGCACACCTTCACCCACGAATGGAGATGCTCTGCTCTGCTCATTGTTGCATCTAGCGTAGAGGTGCGGCTGCGCAACACGGCTACATCCAAAAGCACCGCTCATTGACCTTACATTTCTGCATGTCCACCTTCTCCAGCAGACTCTCTGAGAATCCTCCCTCGTCCACAACGCCGCCGCGCAGCTTGAAGTAGTACGGCCAGCTCAGCCCCTCGATCATGGCGCAGTACACCGTTGCCGCGCTGTCGCTCTCGTCTTGTTTCGCGGCGCGTGAGATGTCGGCCGTGACGTAGACAGGCGACTCGGGCGTGGCGTTGGTGGGCCGCGAGAAGACGAAGCGGTATGTGCCTGGCGTCGATGGGTGCTGCGAGGCAGTGAAGGTGTACCGCATTTGTTGTGCATAGAACGCCGCTGCGAGGCGCTGCAGCTCGTTGAGCTCCATCTCTCTTGCTGCTAGCACTACAACAACGCGGGAGGAACCAGAAGAGAGCAGTTTTTCTTTTTTGGAGGGGGGGCCCCGCTCATGCGGCGTTGCAGCAGAGGTGAGCGTGCAGACACAGACAAGCTTGCCTCACAAGCAGCACGCACACACACGCAGAGACACATACAACCGATGGAGAGAAGGAGAGAGTGAAAAAAAAAGGACAATGCAACGCAGTGTCATGTGATGACGCCGATTCCATCCATATGTGGTGTGCTTAGCGCCTGCGCCGCCTCGCCGCGAGGCACCGCACGTTCCAGTCCAGCTGCCGCCTCTCACTTCTCGTGGTGCAGAGGGCGAAGCGCTTGCTGACCGCGTACGGCGTCTCGGGGAGGAACTGGCGGTACACAGACAGGCTCAGCAGCGAGAGGCTGATCAGGCCGAACTCCACTGCCGCCTCCATGAGCATATCGGCGACTGAAACGCCTCGGTCATGGTAGTCGCCCGGGACTGCCAGGCTGTTGTGCGTGCCGCCGCCGCCGCCGCCGCCCAGAAGCAAATCCTCAATGACAGTCGTTGCCTGCGAAGCAACAGGATCACTCGCAGCCACACAGAGGCTAAGCCCACGCAAGAAGGGGATCCACCTTCCTGCGTTCACGCTTTGCGAGCGACAGGCGAGGACAAGCGGGGATTGGGCGGCGTCATGCTGAGCAAGAAGGTCACAAAGGAGGTCGGAGAATAGAGGCGCCCTGTCGGCACCAAAGAACTGTGAGAACATAGAGGGGTTACGGATGAGTGCCATAGGATGAACCAGGAACTTCGCCGGATCCACCCTGCGCTCGAGAATACCGCGTCTGTACGCCTCATCAAGGATGACCGCCGCGCTGAGCAGGCCGTATGCATGCACCTCGGGGCGATAAAATAACGATATTCGGCGTACCGCCTCTTCAGGTGCGCCAACGTGCAACCGCGAAACGTCCGCAAACGGAGTGTGCAATGTCACCGCTGCGTCGTCGGAGTTACCCTCCTCCGCGGCAGCAGCTTTGGCTGCGTCTGCGAGGTCGACACACGCCGCAGCCCCACAGCGGGCCACAATGTGACGATGAGATGGGTGACATCTCTTCATAAGCCTTCGGGGTACAGCAGGAGAGCAAAAACGAACAAAAAAAACCATAAGGGTAAGTAGGTAAAGATTTCGGGGGAAACGAGTGGGTGAAAGAGAGTAGACGTGCAGCATGGCTTTGCCCTCAGCCGTGGCGGCGGCTTTTCAAGGCGTGCAGAAGTAATAGCAATAGGAGCAGCAACAGCAACAGCAGCGCACGGAGTGACGGTACGATGCGCTCCAACCCGTGTGTGTGGGTGTATGTCTGGATACCTCCTCTCGGCACAAGATGAGAAGGGGGCGTCACGCATCCATTTGCTGCAGCAGCGCGGCCACCGCATCCAACGCCACGGCCTGGCAGTGGCCGCGCAGTTGGCCACGCTGCTCCGCCGTCGTGAGGCGCGCTAGCGACACCTTCATGTCCTCGTACACAATCGCGTGCGCCGTCACTTTGCTCTGGCTGAGCGCACGCAGCACGGCGTCCCACGCGAGAAGGTCACCCGCGCACCCACCGGCGCCGGCGAGGAGGCGGGTGAGCAACGCATGCACGTTGTGCGCCGTCTCTCGCGTGAGCTCGTCGCGCCACAGCGCAAGCCGCTCGAGCGGCG